GCCACTGACTCTGGGCCCAAGAGTCCCCAGGCCTCTTCACACTGCTTGCCAACCAGGTCCCCAGCTGGGTCCACAGAAGTCCACTGAACATTGAAGGGCTTAGCTTGCCACTTCATTGCTGCTTTTACCCCACTTCCCCCCATCGGTGATGTGTGTGGTCACCAATCAGAGCGTGCAATGAGAGGATCTGGCCACTTGCCTTGATGTTTCCTAGGGAAGCGATTTGTTTGTTCTTGTAGTAACAACAGCCCATCTGCCTCCATTTTTCCTGCAGGTCTTTCTTTCAAGAGGTATCTTTTATTCTTCTAGCCGCTCGAGGCTGGTCTGCTCATCCTTTCAAGTGGAGATTTCTCATCTCTGGAGATCTGGATGTGGTTTCGTTTTCTACCTATAGTTTTATGTATTGCAAAGGCTCCGCAAGAAGCCTCGTTCACTGGGTACGCTGTAGCCCCGTTTTAGGTATTCCAATCAGTCATAGGCAGAAGACGGACTTATAAGCCTTCTAGTGTGGTGTTTCTGACTATTCCTTTCTTTCCCTCTCCAGTGTCTACTCTGAGCTGCCTGGTCAGGAAAGCGCCGGAAGTCCTCCTCACGGGGTGAATTCTTGATGGATGACTACAGGATCCCCACTAATCACTATCTGCCTCCTAAGCTGGTCTTGTTTATGATTGAGTCATGTTCCACATATTTTCCCTCTCTCTATCCCTTTCAGAAAAGTTGGTAATGATCATGGAGACTAGTACGTTCGTGTGGTCCAGCAGTCCATTGCAATAATTGTTCCCACGCATCTTTGCTTTTCTTCACTTTTCTTTCCTCCAGACAGGGAGACATAAATAGTTGCACCTTAGATGGCTACTTAGAAGTTTTTAAGACCCTGCGCTATACATTATCTTTGTGAACTGCTATGCCAATTGACCTCGGTGTTCCCCAAGACCATGGTCTTGTGCCCCAAGGCCCAGTAACCCATTCATTCCCTCAAGGGGTTTGGTTAGGCCTGAGAAGTTGTCATAACTTTGCACGCCCCATGTTCCATATGCTTCATCGTATGCCTGCCAATATTAGCAGCAAAAGTAAATATCCATGCACAAATACCCTGTGTCAAACCTATAGACAAATATATAAGCACTGGACTGTGACCCACAAAATTGGTGGTTAAGAGTCATCAGCCACTCGCTCCATGGGAAAAAGATGGGACTATCTACTCACGCAAACATTTAAAGCCTCAGAAACCCTATACAGGATTCGCTCTGAGTTGGAATTGACTGCACAGCAATTACCATACACACACAAACACACACAAGGTACACATGGAGTCCTGGTGTAGTGTTATAGGATAAGCACTGGACCACAAGGTCAGAGGTTCAAACTCACTAACCACTCCTCAAAAACCCTATACGGGGTCGCTGAGTTGGCAGTGGCTCAATGGCACTTAACAATAATACATACAAATATCTACATATACATACACACACAGCCACATATCCACTGTGGTGGCTTATGTGTGACTGTGACTCTTAAGCTATATGCCACCAGTATTTTAAACACTAGCAGAGCCACTCATCAAAGTCCTGGGATGGTGACATAGGATAAGCACTAGGCAGCAGGGAGGCCAAACAGGGTTGCTCTGAGTCGGAAGAGACTGACCAGCAACTAACACAACAAGAGAGTCACCCATAGTGGAGAGGCTCCAGCTCAGCTTCCACACTAAGGAAGACTAGACAGGAAAGACGGATTACTTGCAAACATTTTGGGGAGAAAATTTAGTCACCGAAAACCTTCCGAATAGCAGTGCACATTGTTAGATAGCACGAGAATATTACTGTGAGGTTGGCAAAGGACCGGGCAGTGTTTCATTCTGATGTGCATAAAATCACTATGAGTAAAAAGCAGCAATGAAGCAGCAAGCTAAGCCCTTCAATGTTCAGTGGACTGCTGTGGACCCAGTTGGGGACCTGGTTGGCAAGCAGTGTGAGGAGCCCTGGGGACTCTTGGGCCCAGAGTCAGTGGC